CTAGAAGCTGTGTACTCCCTCTTATACATTTTAAGAGACTGCATATATACAGCACAGCTATATGATTTGTTTCAGGGCAGTAGGAATCCTGTGGGACTATGAGGACAGCACTGCCAGTGTTATCCTTCAGAGACCACTTGATCTGTGGAGCTGTTGATGTCAGAGACTCTCACTGCGTACAACACTGGGACTACAAACATTGTGTTTTCAGGATGACAGAGTTCAGTGTGACACTCTGTCCTATTACTTGTGCAATAACCATATCAAGTCATATATGGTTAGGAAGGGAGAAGTTATTTTCCCATCGACGAAACTTTGTTTTCCTGTGTAAAAGGAAAAGATGTCATAGTTTTCCTTTTTCTGTTCCCTTAGTATTAAGTCTGTCTTACATGACTGTGCTGTAAAGAGTAAGAGAAGACAAAAAGGAACACAGCACTGAGAAGGACTAACACAGCAGATTTTGACTGATGTCCCTGGGAATTGACCTAGCTCTATGTGTTTCAGGTATTGTCCTTCAGGGTAAAGAAAATCATCCACCTACTGCTCTTTCCTTCGTCTGTGTCCACAGGAACAGAATAAGCACTGGAAAACTGCAAGAGAAGCCCAATGAAATTTCCTCTTCTCTCCTCCTCAAGGTGTTTTCTCTAGTTTCTTTTGAGTGATATATTAGGGCAGGAAGAAAGAGTAAATTAAAAACTACCGAGAAGGCAATTTGGACCATTTTGTTTATTCCTTTTTAAAGAGACTGAAAAAAATAAACCCTGGCCTGCTTATTTTCACTAGCAAAGCTGAGCATAAAATAATTACCCAAAGGAGAGTACGTACCCTCACACATGCATGCTCCTGTGCCAGTGCTTTCCTTGGGGTGTGGAGACACCCAGATCAAGGGTTCCCTGTGCCAGGGGTTTTCCATAGGAAATACTCTCTGGATCCCCTCGGAGGCTTTTTGCTTTGACTTGCCAGTGAAAAGGAGACAAAAATTCCTAAGTTAATTTCCAAGACTGTGGAAGCCTGGGGCAAGTGGGCTGTTAATGTTCTGCTCACAGTGGTATACCCAATAGGAGGGAGCTGCTGCCCTCTGGGGAGCAAGGGAGATAGTGGTTTCTCAGCATCTCAGGTGCAGTGAACAGAACTGGCAGCTTGGGCACAAGGGCATTTTCTCTCTTCATCTTTTAACTTCTCTGAGAGAAGAACTTCTATTACTTTTGTCAGAATGTCAAGTAGACAGCTTTTTCTGGCTTGTGTGCTCCTTCTGAAGGCTGGCTGGGTGGCAGATGTGGAGGCAGAAGTCCTTTTTATGCTTTACATGGGATATAGACAGGACAATAGGAAGACAAGCTATTTACCAGACCAGCTAGACAGTGTTCATCCATTCTGACCCTGAAGCTGACCCTTGCTTGGGAAAAGAAAATATGTTGGTGTTCATTCCCATGAAGTCCTTGGATGTGTTGCCAAGGCTGGCTTGGGGACCTCTGCTTTCATGAGGTGCATGAAATGGATAGGTATTTGCTTAGAACTAAAGGACAACTATCATCAAGTGCAATCCTAGTGCTTCTGGGGAATTATGCTCCTCACAAGCATAAGGCTTACTTGAATAAGCCCTTTCTTCACTATGGTACAGTTATTCTGGAAGAGTAGATGCGCTTTGGTGATATAGTGCAATTCAAAATGATGTGCAACTCTTCGCCTGGATACAGTTGGGGGTTTTTGTTCACTGCAAACGGGATATGTCACCATATTTTACTTATGATGTTTTGACGATATTTGCTCTGAAAAGTTTATACAGCAGATTAGAAATATCTTGCATGTCAACATTTTGTTTGACAGTAATTGCCAATATTAATTCAACTGTGATTGTTGTTCTCCCTTGCCTTCCTTCAAACTCCAGAGATTTCCAAGTAGTTTCCCATCTGAGCTGTAATCCAGCTGTTACCTTGAATGGAATGCAACAAAGGTACACACCATTGTGCAAATAAACCATATATTTACATTGATTGAAGCTTTTAAATATATTGGGGTTTTATAAAGAGATGAGGCCACTAGCTTTGTTTCCTGCTGTTATACACCTAGGTAAAAGCTGAGAGGAGTTTCATCCTGGTTCAATACAGACAGCATTTCGGTACTGTGTGAAGTACATATGAAACCTCAGTGACCAACATCAAAGGATGATCAAGGATTACTCAAAGAAAGAGAATGTATGGCTTGGCAAGAATTCATACAGGGATGAACTTAGTGTTATCTGTAAAGGGAGAAAAAAAAGACGATGCAATAGGAAAAAATGCTGGTTTTCAATCCCTAATATAATTTTCACAGTAGCACATGACAAGTTTAAGCAATGGCCTCAGAGGAGCCTTGCATATTGTCACTGACAATTCATCATACCCTGAAACAGTGGGGATATGATAAGAACCAGACGATATAGATTTCTTAACCAAACTCAGTGCTTCATATCATCTGGGAAATAGCTGGCTTAAATTCTGTATCAATGTCTTAGTCCAGCAAGAGGTTAAGTGCATTTTTCACTATCTCCATTGCTGTTTAATATAGAGAACACTATGACTTTAGTGGAATTTTACTAAATGAGGAGGAAAACTGGAACCCTCAGAACCAGAGGAGAAATTAAACAACATGATCTGCATTTATATACTCATTTCTGTGTGAAACAGACCAGTAGTTGGATTCTGTTGAGATAATACTGTCCCAAAACAAAATTTTAAATTCAATTCCACTATGTGACTGAGATTTATTTTCTTAAGGTTGAACTTCTTTGATAGATCCCAGGACATGAACAGAGGTCCTGCTACTCTTCAAGCTTCTCCCTCTGTGCACCCATACACATGTGTACACACATGGTTTTAGAAGAAATGTAGTTCACATCAGGGATGTGGCTCCTGGATGTCCCAGTAGCTGCTGTGATTTAAGGATGTGTGACACATGTTGTGTGTTTCACATACTATTTCAGACAATTTAAATGATTTCTGTGTACTGTATGTTAGTGCGAAGGGTAGGAAAGACCTGTTCTTTGTCTCGTAGTCTGACTGTAACACAAATGCATGACAACTCTTTAATAAGTTCAGAAAATACCTTTAAACACTGAAACTGGATTTTTGTAAAGAATCAGTTTGGATATGTAGCTCTTTTAGCCTTAATTGATATGTCAGATTACTTTCGGTTTATTATAGGAAGTTCATTTCCACTGGAGCTGAGGTGTTGGGTGGTAGCCACAGGATCATCCTCAGGTTGAGTGTGTATTAAGATAATAAGGGATTAAGAAAGAGCTGGATTTGATTAGTACTAGTAGATTTATTTGTTTTATGTAGGTCACTGATAAGCAAATTGCTTGCAGGTGGCATTTCTGACTGATGTCAGTACATCCTGAGTTTCATTTGGACAAAGTAGTGGGTGTTTCCTGGGAAACTCAGGGTGAGATTCACCTAGAATGGATGGAAGGAGTAAGGAAAGAATTCTGATACCAGCAGCAGGGCATAATGAGCTTTGATGACTGCATTGTGCTGCTTTGATATACACCAGCATGTTGAGAAGCACTAATCTGGGATACCTCTGGCAGTGGTAAAAGACTTTTTCTAAAGGAAGGTTTAAGTGGTGGCACCTTTACTCCTTGCAGCTTTAATTCACTAAACAGTGAATTCTTAGCTAGTAATTTGAAGGTGGAATAGACCTGTAATTTCTTCTTTCTTCAATTGTCTTCAGATTTAAAACTACTCTTCAGACATTGCTAGAATTGCAAGCTCAGTCTTAACCATGTAGTTCACAGGAGGCAAAACCACTCTACTTTCTTTAGCATTAAACATGGATGAAGTTGAAATGAATTATGTTTATTCCACTTGTTAAAAGAAAACTTGGAGCCTGTTTCAGCTTGAGATCACATGTTTTCTGGAAATATATAGGTCTTATAACAAATCTTGGAATGCAAGTAACAGGCTCAGGGTTCTCCTCTGGGTGGGATTACAATTTATGTCAGAAAAATTTGGACCCTTAAAATGTCTAGCTGTGCTAATGCTTATAATTTGTGATGAGGTAAGATTACTTGATTCACATGGCTTTACCTTGCAACCCTTTCTAATTACGTCTTTGGGCTTTCAGTGTGTGGGGAATGATCAGGACATGCACCCATTTGCAGTTTGAAGGCATTTGTTTCCTCATAAACCAGAAGCACAGACATGGGGGTTTTTCAGAAGATGGAAAGTGCAAACACCCATTTTCATTTTATAAAAGCTACCTTTCAGAAAGCAATCAGGTGAAATAATCTCAGCAAACTCTTGTGTCTTCTCTTGTCTCACACATAAATGTTAATGAGATCTAAAGACTGAATCTCATTTGGCCATAGTCAGAATTTGATTGCCTATGTAATTTTTACATTTACTCTTGCAATTACTGTGTTGAAATGAAATCTTTTTGCATTTTAATGAAAGTAAGATAAAATGAAAGTGTAAAATTGTTATGCACTCATTAGATAAATCCAGTATCCTCTCTCACAGACTAAATTAATTTGCCCATCTAAACTGTCTTCCAAGAGCTGTTCTACACAAGAAAGTGCTACATGTGCATAAAGTGTCATTACAAATTGTGCACCATGAACCATATTGGAAAATGTAGGTTGGCCACACATTTTACTTAGCATAGCTGGCAGCCTGTACTGGGCATAAGTACCAGGACAGAGCAGCAGGATCTGAGTGGAGGTGCTTTAGCAGCGCTGTTTGAAGAAAGCTTGCCTCCTGTATGCTTGGTTTAGCTTCCTTCTCATTCACAAGATTTATTTGATTAATAAAAACACCCAAAACTTTACAAACTGTATTTAGTCCCCTTTTCTCTGTTGTTCAGTGTTCTCTTCCTGAGCCCCTTTAATATGATTGAGTTTCCATTTGACCTCAACATGCTTTGGACCAGATCCTGAAGGTCTTTCAAAAGGAGTTGGCCTTCCTCTGTTAAACCAGCAACAGTATTTATTGTCCTTTAAATGTTTTTTTCCTTCTCCTCAGAGCTCCAGAACTGCTCGCTCAGAGGAAGACCGAGACTCGCTGTGGGATGCCTGGGGCTCCTGGAGCGAATGCTCACGCACTTGTGGAGGGGGAGCTTCATATTCACTGAGACGCTGCCTGAGCAGCAAGTAAGTGGCTGAATGATTTTTACTTTACTGATGGGAGAATTTAATCAAGTTCTATGTGTCAGACCATAAGAAGTAATCAGTAGAGATCTTGAACTCCATTGAAATTTCCAACTCAGCATCGAAAAATGATGGTGGTGTGTTTTATAGTTCAGGCAAGCAGTTAAAGTGCTTGATAAGACAACACCCTTTAAATACATCGAGAACCCATGGAGATCGAAAAGTGGCCTGGACAGCTTGCAAGGCTGCCAGCTACTGAAACTGAAACCTCCCTACTCTTTTACCACTCAAGCAGTAAGAATGTCATGCACTCATACCAGAGTACAGCTAATTCTTTAAGTTTTGTGCCCCACAGTCGCAGCCACACTGTGCTATGTAAGGAAATTTTTCAGTTCTGCAGAGGCTATCTTACAAAAAAAATTCAGGTAGGAAGACTTCCTAGGAGCAAAGCCCCTCCCAACAAGCCTGGTAAAATGTCCTGGTACAAAGGTGAAGTCCAGGTACCTGGTCAGGTACCTGGGATTTTATTTCCCCCCAGTTGCTACCTTGCAATGGAATATGGACAAGTCATTTGACAACTTTTCCAATAAATGGTATATATAAATTTTACCTGCAAAATATTTCTAGCAATTATTTCTATCTACTTTTAAGAAAAAATTTACCTGCAGTAAACTTAGTATATGCGATAAATATGAACAGATTTCTGCTAAAATATATTAAGGAAAACTCCAGACCCGAACTTCATGGCTGATTGCCATCTCTGATACCTTGTATATTATAGTATTAGAAATGCAATACAATTTTCCATCCTACATATCTTTCTTCGTGTTTTCATTCATGTGCTTATAAAACTGATGTTAATATAACAAATGGTAGCCATACAGTCCAAATCATTTCCTATGTTTGACATTTTAATACATGATGTTGTTTAGTGAAAACAGGAAACAGCACTGAACCATAACATCAGAACAGTATATTGTGTATTTTAGCTTTATCTGTGGACAGTTTGGTGTCCTAGTACCAGCATTAATGGAGTTGACTGTGTGCGAACGTCTGCTGGCAGAAAAGATGACCAAAGGCATTGACTGAAATAAGTGGAAAAGCACTGTTTTTCTATTCCATTGCCATGGATGAAAAAAATTATGATACTTGGTTTTTAAATGTTTCATAGCAAGTTGTGAGTCTGCATTCACCCCGAAATCTGAAAATGCAGAGACAAGAACTTAATTTTAATCACAGTATATCCTTTTCCTGCTTAGAAAAATAGGTGACTTTCAATATGTTGCTTTAGTGTAAACATGAACTGAGGCATATCAAGAGATTTGGGGAATCAGCAATAAGAGAGCTGACTGACTATACCTCTGCTTCCTCCCTGAGAACTGCCTCAGTAGTTTCTAGAGGGCAAGTGTTGGAGTTCCGAGCAGTAGTAGTTATAGTCCTTTATAGTATGTGAGTATAAACACTCCTGGGTGGATTCTTGTACTATTTGGGATGTCCCTGAAACTGCACCAGCAGAACAGGGAATAAACTCTTAAATCCCATGGGACTTTTTTCTCATGCAATACTTTGTCACTGTTCCATCAGGATATAAGCAATGCTTCCTACCTTAAGAAACCAACTGCAAAGAAACCAGCTGCCAACTATGACCCATTGTGACACAGAAGTCCCCTGTTTCCAAGAGAGAATGCAAGGTTTAATTAGGTGCACGGCATTTGGTGGCCAGTAGCAATAAATTGCAAATAGTAACATTTGATCTGGAATTAGTACTGTGTCAAATGTGTGATAGTTTTTCCTTTTTACTGGTCTGTGTGCAATTATTAATTAAGTAAAGGGTTTAAATCATTAATTTTTTTTCTGCTAAGCAAGCATATTAAGTTGCTAAGAAAAAGGCAGAGAGGGAGCAGGGGAAAGAAACTCATCCAAGGTTTGCAAATAAACCTGTGTGCATGAGTACTTCAAGCTTGGCAAGGCTAGAACAAAACGTCTACGTCTGTGGGTCCATTTCTTGGTCAGTACAGTTTATCTCATGTATTTGCTGTGTATAATTTCATTGCAGCATTAAGGAAGATACTAGATACTCTTGGCAAATGAAAACTGGCAACACATTTAGATGTTTTGGAAAAAATTAATCCTAAATATTTCTTATCCTTGGAGGAATATTCATAGTTCTTGATATCTTTTAGGTCTGTGTGAGTTGACTTTTGAGCATTACATGAAAAGAGAGAGCCCAGTGCATCTGCTTTGAAGAAATGCAGAGACTAATTGCCCATTCCTAAACACCATTCCTATATACAGCTAAATAAAGGGAACCAGTTTTCTTTCCAGCTTTTGTTTGCCAAAGTTATGTTAGTGTTTGTGTTGTTTGTTTTGGGAGCATGTTTTGTGTTAGGCCTTCACAGCTGTGCTGAAAGAATGGAAAGTGTTAGTGAGAAATTCTGTTTTCTAGTGGTTTCGATGGCAAAAATTTCAGGGTAGGGGCTGTTTAACAGTACATTTCATTAGAACAACTGGTCCTGATTATGCTAAGGACATTAGGATAGTGATATAAATAAATATGCCAGTCACACAAGCAGACAGGAGTTGTGAGGTCAAGTCAACTATATGTCCTGGCATCCCGTGCTGACAGCAAGCAGCACTGGGTTACTCCAGGGGCAGATTAAGACACAGAAAAATAAAGTTTTGCTAATTAGCAGTTAAATAATGAGCTAAGTCTCAAAGTAATACACTTTTCAGAAGCTCTTTATTTGCATTAATTCTTTATAAACTTTTTTATTTTGCCCTTCAGTTTTCCTATCTTTCTTTTTTCTTTTTCTTGGGAGTATACAAATCTCAGGGAAGAGAAACTTATCATCTGTCCCCTCTCCGTAATGAACTGTCATGCAGAACTGCTGATTAAAACCTGTTGATGGGAGAATCACAGGTCACTCCTGTTTTTCTTGAGGGCCAATCTAGAAACTGTTGTACTTCTTCAGAAAACCAAGTTTTATTAGCTATTCTATACTTTGGCTACAGAGATTATGGAAATACTTAGGCAGAGCAGGTAGAGAGACACTGCAATATGTTCTTTGCCCTCTTGCTCAGAATGCAGCTATTATTTGTTCTGTCTGTCTGGAGTTTGACATCCAACACAGTCATAATAACTCACTTCCCTTCCATTCAGGTATGAATAACTGTGCACACTGATTCAAGCAAACTCAAACAGGGTAATAATAAATGGCTGAATTAGATACCTAAAATTCATGTGTATTTATTTAATTTTCTTGTGTTGGGATACATTTTCAAATTGTGAAAGAATTTGTAGATTCCCTTATGCTAAGTTCACCCACCCTGGTCCTAAAATTATTCTGTTATCTGGAATTGACAAGTACTACAGTAATAGCAGTAGCATTTGGCTGTTTTTAGGCTTGTCAAGAAGATAATTGTGATTCTTTTTCCTATCATGTTTCAAACTCGCCATCACTTTTTAGTAAAGTAAGGCTGTAGGTATCAGACGAGCAGAATGTCCTAGAATTTTGGGAATTATTTTAGCTGGTAATAAATAAGTTGTCCATTTTCAATCTGCTTAGAACCCCTACATGTTACTGTTGCTGCCATTTCTGAAAGTGCATGAAGCAGGGAACAGTTTGCCTGAGTGCATAGGAGAGTCCTAAGCTAGTTATGGAGTCCCAAGGATACTGAATCTGAGTTAAAGGGCCAAAATTTCAGATCATCACTCTTACCTCTGGGAAATAATGTGTAACTGCTGAAGAGAGTGAAGGTTTTCCACCATTAGGTGAGGGTTGTATGTTTAGTAGCAGATGAAAGTCAATCTTAACATCTTCCTGACAAGTCTCCCTCAGTATAAAAGTGTCAGAGATTAAAAAAAAAATCAAAAAATAAAAACCAACCAACCAAAACAAAGCAAACAAACAAAAAAAAGGTGAAAAAATGGAAAAGAAAAAAAGTAGGAACAAACATGAGAGAGTCAATCCCAGCTTTGTATAGATGCTTTGTATTAGCTGTGTCACTTTCTGGAACACTTTTGTCTCCTTTTCAAATACATCCCTTCCTTGCTTCAGCTGATAGCTGCCTTCTGGTGATGCAATAGCTAAATTAGCTAAAAGTAGGGCAATTTTATTATGTGTGACAATTTGCATAAGACAGAAAAAGCTAAAAAAATTGATTATTTTAAATTAAGGAGTAATATTTTCTCATTTTGATCACACATATTATCAGTTCACAAATCAAGCATCAAATGGTTTGGTGCCTGTCAGACAATGATGGAATAAATACATGTTATTCACATAGGAATCCATTACAACAATTTTGGCTAGCATTGAAAACAGGATACATCAAATACTACGTATTTGAAAAAAGTCCTGTTTAAAGTTTCATCTGTATATAACTTGGATACCAAAATATTGTCTACTGTTGCAGCTTCAGAACTGTATTTAGAATATAGTCCAAGCATGTGGCTATGCCCCCTGTTTTCAGGCTGCAGTCAGAGTCATCTGTCTCAGGGACTCTAATTGCCAGAGATTCTTACGTTTTTTGCATCTAACATTGACAAAACATCTTTTAAACTTTCTGAGTGAAGATTACAATGAAACAGATATTCTAGGTTTGGGGTTGCTTCTTTATCAGATAGAAGCTAACATAAATTACCACAATTATTGGGCAATGATATCAGTGCAGTCTGCTCTCTACTGGTGCTACTAAATTAGGCAAATCATGACACTTTATGTAATGCTCCTGTTTTGGTGAGAATGATCATTTTAAATACTGGGGGTTTATGATGTTGATAATAAGCCCTTATCTATCCTAAGGTCTGTAAAATAAGGAGCAAATGCTATCAAAGCTGCTGAATACATCCATAAAAATAAATAGTGTTTCGTATATTTAGTTTGTAGATGCTTCTGGTTACATCTATGCCATCAAGTAGCATTTTAAAAAGGAAGTTATTCTGTTTACTCTGGGATTAACCAAATCTGTAATTATGAAAAGATTTTCTGTTTTCCTTTGAT